AGCTTGAAAGATTGAGATTACTACACTTACCTCTATATTTTCAGACTAAAAAGGAGCACCAAAAAAGTTCTCACCTTTTCTTACAATACCAAGGAGAAAGAGAGTTTGTAGGAAGAAGATGACAAAGAAGTGGGAGGAAAAAGAGAGTTTTCCAACGTGACCTCATTGCCATTAATGGGATTTCACCCTTTCAATTTAAAAATGGTGAAATCCACCTTTTGGTCCTTCAAAATTTAGTCACCTTTTAAAAAAAACCCTTACCATCATTGAAATAGGCCCACTAAGGCCAACCCAAAGCTCTAATGAACCAAGCCTCAAATACAAGGTTAATGGGTTTACCTATGATACTCTCGGGTTAACTCAAAACTACTAACTAAGAAATCGGGGTGTTACAACTTCGTTATTAGTAAATGTATACCAGGTCTCTAACCTAATTAACATACTAAAATGCATCATCATGTAAACACAATGATAATACCCGATATAACATAGATTCTAGGTATAATCACATAACAATAAATAAGCATCATGTTGTAGTTCGGGGTTATATAGCACCATGAAATTCACATCACTATGTGCTTACTAGAAGTACCTTGGGTAAGATCTGGGTCCCAAAGAATCAATATCTCACAAGTACCATACGCGAGGTCTAGGTCACATAGCATCAATATCTCACAATCATCTTAGGCTAGGTCCAAGTCACATAGTGTCAGCACCTTGCCAGGTTAGTCTATTCCTCTAGAGTAATCAAAATGTGTCTGGGTCACATAGCATCAGTACAACATCCAACTAGCGTTTAAAGTGCCTTCACACTAATTTGGATATATTCGAATATTTCTCAAACAATTAGACGATCGTCACTCACTCACACACACAAGTAACTTGAGTGTCCTCATCGTTTTATGAGCGACAAACAAATGCACAAATCTTTTGGAATCTTACATTATAATGTTCTTATGATTATTACAAAATTTATTCAATGTTTCCACTTGTAAGATTTATTGAGAGGTTTTGGCAATCCTACACCCCTTCTTAAGTTCTTAAACTAAAACGAGGCTTTTAATATATTTCAGTCCAATAGAATCGATACTAGGCCCTTTAATATCGATCGAAACCTTTGAGTATCAGTACCCACCCTTGGTATTGGTACCAAATCTGGCTACTAGAATTATAACTCAATGATGATATCGATACCTTACCCTTTGGTATCGATAACCTCTAAACATTATCAAATACTCCCCAATAGAATCCTAATTTTAGTCATTTATGATATTGTTAATGAGGCTTCATGAACAAGCATTAATTATAGATCTAAACATCTCATGTAATTATTTAACGAATGTGCAATTTAAACTCTTACTAGTATAGGTTAACTTATTCACTTAGGCCCATAAGGGCAATTTAGTAATTTTGTATGGTGCACAATTTATCTATCACATTATTCATATCCTACACCACCTAGATTGCAAGCATATCCTTGACAACGGTTTGTTGTTCGCGAATATTCGATACATACTCCTTTAAGGGTACTTTCAAGGTTCTTTACTCACTAAGGGTATTTTGGTAATTTATGCCACTTAGGGGGCATTTGGTTCAATTTATAATTTAGAACCTTTTTATAAGCTTAGTTGTACATTTCACAACAATTTATAACCATTCAGATGCAACGAGTGATGTTTTGAATCTTTTGGTATTGAATAGTATTAATACTCTACTATGTAGTATATGTACTATAGTAGTATTGATATAGGTATTAATACGATTATCGAGACTCCATGAATAATATTGATACGAGTATCATTACTCCAAGAACAATATCGATACTATAACCCATAAAACCCTAAATAAGACTCGATAATCACCCAAAAACCCTCCCAAACACGCTAGTTTGGTCCTAAATCAATAAATAATGCTTAACAAAGTCTTATAGGGTCATCTAACACCATAAAAACATGATATTTACAACAATAACATCATATAGGGCATGAATAAATAAAAACTCCCAAATATACTCAAATACCCAGATCCCCAACAAGGCATTACATTTAGGAAATTCACAACACGTAAAAAGGATTAGAAATACACTACCTTAGCTAGGGAATCCGAATTTAAACTACTTTATTCAACCATACTTACTCTCACCTTCTCATTTGACCTAGGATGCTTACCACCCACTCCTTCTAGCCCAAAACATTAAAATAAGTTGTTGAATCGCCTACAAAGTTGCTGAAAAGCTTAAGGGTGAATTTTAAGCCTAAAGGGACCATGCAAGATGCTTAAATATCTTACTTTGGAGCTATGACACTTGGGAGGAAGAGTGGAGAAGAAAATATGAAGAAATAAATAAGAAGAAAAAATGAATTAAGAGAGAATACAATGATAAAAGTCACTAGCTTTTCAAAGCTTCCCCACATCTAGAAATCCCAAGAAAATCAACTTTTTCATCAACAAGGGTCTAATTGCATTTTTGGTCATTCGTGTTTTGTCTTATAAGTAAAAAACCTCTTTTTATAACTTCTTGGACTCAAATCCAACCCAATTAAGCCTAAACTTGACACAACAACTTTAATTACGAACTCCATGAGGTTCATATACCTCTCAGATTAAGCCAAAACTACTAGCCCAAAATTTGGGTGTTACAAGAAACATTCGAAGATATACATTTAGGAGATTGAATTAGGGTGTCTAGTGTGTTCCAACAAAACCAAAAACAAGTGTACGTATAGTTTAAAAACCAATAGTAGTTTATTTTAGGAAAACATATTTTAAAATCACAATAATACCTTCCATCCGAACACCATAGGTGCCAACTTGAGGAGATACCTCAGGTCCATAAGGAATTACTAGCTTGATTGGAGCTGAACCTGCATAGACTATATAATAGATCCCATATAATAGCCCAATATAAATCAGATTAAACAATAAACAATAATGTCATAAATTTTGAGCCAATAAAATATCATAAAAGTGATAGTGGTGTTTATTTAAATCACATAACTACCATCTACCTGTATATGGAAATGTAGTCCCCTAGAACTACATCCATAAAGACTTACCATATACTCATTGGGTATAGGAGTCAATCTAAGGGAGTACCTTGGGGCATAAGAGCCTACCCAAAGGTCACTTTAGGTTTATATTGAATTACCAACTTGATCAGAGTTGAACTTACAAAACTCAATAATAATCCTAAAGTGTATCCCCAATAAAACAATTTTAGATAGTACTTGTAGAAACATGAAAACATAAATCAAACATATTTATTATTCAATAAAACCGATAACCAAAGAACATGTATCAAGGAACATAGTTTTTAAATAGAAATCAAGAATCAAGATTTCATTCAGATAAAACATTCATAAGTCAAATTAGATAAACATTTATTTTTTAGAACAAATAAATTAGACATGTGCACATGATAATTCAAATAGGTATTTAAAATATTTATATAGCACACAAGGAACACACTAAATGATTCAATTACTTTTCAGAGACACTTGGTAGTTATCAGGAAGGGAAAACATGAAACTTCTGTAAATTGATCGAATTTCAGAAACGAGATCCCTATTAAAAGAGTTCAATTACTAATATATATAATCAAGCATTTAAAAATTGATGCTTCAACACCATTTAGGATTTAGTGTGTCGAGAAGGTATTTAGGAACCTTTACATAAGAATTATTTAAGATTTAGATCTAACAGGAGTGATTCTCTTACTCAAGCCATTAGGGACATTTTAAACATTTTGATACATGAATAATTCTTAGTAAATTAATCCAACAAGGGTAAAATGATGATTTTATAGTATTCATGATTTATATCGAATTATCAAGATCTCAAGTCAAATCAAACTAAACGAATCTCAGTGCTACTTTGTGTGCCAATCATTCAGAATTAATCCATGTATTATCTAATGGAAATAATGTAATTTTAATTTTATATATTTATCATGCCACGTCAGTAAACTGTTAAAAGTTTAATAACCGTTAGTCTTTTGTTACCACATCTTAATCAAAACGAAAGTAATCAAATATTATATATTTTTTAATTCATTGAGTAAAAGTTTAGAAACTCAAACGAAAGTCAACATTGATGTAGTTTACTCAAACAATAAATATCATAATTGAAAATATAGTAATGTTGTGTAGAGAAATGATATCTCAATTCCACGCGGCAAGTTATGGATAAGTCAAATGTCATATAAGCTTGAAAACCGGTGTTGATGGATAAATCATAAGATAAACCTCAACATCTCAAAACGTAACTCACTGCTCACTGCTCACTGCTCACTGCTCACTGCTCACTGCTCACTGCTCACTGCTCAGAGCTGAGTCATCAGGGAGTTTCAGAAACAAATGGCTCTGCTGACAGTGGGTGCAAATGCAATAAAAAATCTGAACGCATGGCCGACAACCCTTGCTTTGAACTTCAACTTCAAGCCTTTCGCAAGTCCTATCCATAAGACTCTTCGAATCTGTCGCTGTTCTCTGGTGAATGAGCAACAAGCTTCCTTTACCGAGCAGGAAGAGCAGCTTATCAACGCACTCATTGGGATCCAAGGCCGAGGCAGAACAGCTTCTCCTCGCCAACTCATTGTAAAAAAGCCAATTCGCTTTTTTAATCTCTGCATTAGTTCCAATTTTACGAGTGTGACTTTGTTTTCCATCTTCAAAGGAAGTGGAGCAAGCTGTCCAAGTTCTGGAAGGCCAAGACGGGGTCAGAGATCCCGTTAGTTTTCTTTAACTTCTTCTTCTTCTCCAATCTTGTAATCAGTAGCTAAGGAATTTGAGTTGGGCTGAATAAATTTTAAATTGAAATAACAAAAAAGGTTTGGGTTTTTAAGTGGGAATTGAATTGGACGCTTGTTAATTTATTATCTGTTAGCACAAGGTTTTGGTTTTTATAGTTTTAGTACTAAAAAATGGTAATATCATCGTGTGATTCTGAATACTTAATTGCCTGTAGACAAGCTATGACCTGATTGAAGTCCGGTGGCAGTTGATGTTTACGACTAGACCTGGCACAACATCCCCATTTCAGGTAATTAGTCCTCACTTCATTGATTAGTGGACTCTCCAAACTAACTATCCAACCTATAGTTTATTCACTTAATATTACGCATTCAACCAATAACTTTATACCACTTTAACAGACTCGTCGGCGAAGACATAGAAGCATACTCTGTCTATATATGTTTACAAATAAGTTTCTTTTTGTTTTATATTAATGAAGTTAGAATCCTTGTAAAACTAAAAAATTATTTAGTGTGAAAAGGCTTGAAAAATAAGTTTCTTTTTGTTTTATATTAATGAAGTTAGCTTTCTTTTATTCTTCCCAAGGCAAAAATAACCTTGAAAAATGAAGCTTCAAACAATTACTTCAAGGTAATCGATGTTCCGTATTTGAGGATACTGTAATGGTTATTAGGTTAGTCCATCTTCCATTGGTATTTCATCTTCTCTTTCCAATGATACGCTTTTTATTGGCTGTAGAGAACATTTGTTGGGGTTGACCTTTTTAGCGTATTTCAAGAGGTTTATCTTCGGACAAATGATCCACGAGTTTCCAACATCGTAAAGTTTTCTGATTGGATAGGTGAACTCAAAGTAGAGGTATGGTTTCATCATCTTTGGTGATCAAAGTAGCTCATTCTTGTGAATTATTCTTGCGCGGACAAACTGTCATGAGAAACGAACACTAGTAGCCGATAGTGCCCTGGCTTGCTTAGGTTGTGAACTTGCCTACACTCTATTATCTATTATGTCTAGTCATTTCATGCTTAATGAAAATTCTCTCATTAAACTAACTTTTGTCAAGTGCAAATGATTTAGATGTATTTCTTAAGAAAACAAGTCGTCTCGTCAATATTTGTTTTAATTGAAATAGCAATATTCTCGCTAATATAGCATCCTTGAATAAGGAGTATGCCATTAGTATTCTCACTTAAATAGGGTTCAGTGCATCATAACCTAGATGCTTTATCTGTAACCAAGTGTATTTAATTAGAAAAAAATGAGTTTATTCATGTCAGATCCATATCTGTATCCGACACACTACTATTCTAGGTGCAATGTTATAGACATCAAGTTTGCTCATTTGTGCAAGGCTAAACTTTTCTCCATGTCTAACTTATCATTTCCCCCCTTTTACAGGCAGCAGTATCAATCAAAGATGGAAAACGAATCCTCTTTCGGTTCGACAGAGCAGCCTTTTCTTTTAAATTTTTACCATTTAAGGTACCATATCCAGTCCCATTTAGACTTCTTGGAGATGAAGCTAAGGGCTGGTTGGACACTACGTATTTGTCTCATTCTGGAAATCTCCGCATCTCAAGAGGAAATAAGGTGAAAACATTTATTTACGTTCGCATGTTCTATTTTTATGTGTGTTATGAATAAAAGTATTTGGGAAGGAAGTCCAACAATGTCTCTGTAGTGCAGGGAACTACTGTTATGGATTGAAGAAAAGTAGAGAAATATTCGAGAAAAGAGAGTAGAATAGGAGAGAATTCAGAGAAGAGAAAAGTTCATCATTCATTTCATAAGGGAAAATATTGTTTACACAGCAGTTTTATTTTAATACAGGCTGGTACATAGAATCTAACAAATGCCACTGGCATTCTTCTTTACTAACAGACTGCCTAACAAACTGATTCTTTGGTTATCACAGGTACTGGGCCATCCCGGTTGGGCTTATCCTCTTTGTCCTGGCTAACTTCAGCCTGCTTAATTTTAATTCTTTTTCTCCTCGTGCTTCAATTCTCTCTTTCAATTCAATTCCCCAATTACTTCCCAGAATCCCTAACCCTCGTTCCTCCTCCATTCCCAATTCCTGCTCATTCGAATCCTGCTCAATTCCTCGATCTTCCTTTTCTTCTCCAACTACAACAACTACATTTGTGCTTCAAAAGAAGACTGATCCTAGGCAAACATTGCTAGCAGCTATTTCCACAGGAACGGTAGTTACAGAAGTAAAATAACAATTTTATGATTTGCCAACAATATTGGAAAAAGCACATGCTATAGTGTATCTGGGATAGCCTCCCAGTGCTAATCTTTGCATTCCACAACCTTTTCAGGCTATTGATGAGTTTCTCTCCTTAAGAAAGAGTGTGGCTAAAGATGAACCAGTCCTCTTAGAGGGCGAATGGCAGATGATATGGAGCTCACAGGTGCATTTATAATGCCTAGGGCATCTAAGCTCGTAATGAGTAGTGTTCTTTTCTTTCCCTTTTTCCATATGCTCATGCTTACCAGAACGTGCCTCATTCTTCTAAAATCAAATAATGGTAGTCATATTCTTTATTTGGATAATTGTTTCTTAGTTCTGGCTTTGCTCACCTTTGCCCTGACTATCTTGTTGCAGGTAGAAACAGATAGTTGGCTAGAAAATGCCGGCAATGGTCTTATGGGCAGTCAAGTAAGTGACATATAAATGTTATTGTAACTTTGCCTTTGCAATGAAACCATTGTTGCTGGTAGTTCTCTCTTTTCTGGAATTTTCTCATTATAGTAATCAGTTCCTTGCTGTTATTCCAACTGCTTAAGATTGTCAAGAATGGACAAATGAAGTTTCTAGTAAACAACTTACCTGGGATCAGTTTCTCCATGATTGGCAATTTTGTGTAAGTCTCTCGCTTTGCTTTAGTATTGAAAGGATAAAATTTCTTTTTCTTTTATCCGAAGTTGGAAGGGTAGAAATTTGTTATGCCTCAACAAATGCACTTTGCCTAAACGAAACCAACATACTTAGAAAAAGGCATTGCGAGTCACTTGAAAGGCTATGCCACAAATAAGGATCACCTCACCCAAAGAAGGCTCACCCGAGCTGCAAACTCCCATGACCAGACCCTCCAAATCACAAGGAGATCACCAGGATGTGAAGCTCCAATCACTTCCCTATACTTCAACAACTCCCCAAGATTGAGCCTTTTCATGGCTGGTAACACCGGGTCAACCGCAGCTCCTTAGCCTAACTACTCGCCACTCTACCTCTGGCCCCTCCTAGTAGGGCATTGATTATGGCAGGACCCATGATACATCATACATTCTCTCTATATATGTTGTTTTTCTATGATAAAAGATAGACAATCTACGGAAATTGACATTCTCTTCAGTGGCTTTTGGCACATTTATGTGAACCACCAACAATCCTCACATTCCCAAATCATGTACAACAAAGTTAAACTAGAAAATTCATCTCAATTGCACTTCATTAAACTTCACTAGTTTAGCCAAAGATAAATGATGAAGACAGATGTTTCCCAGGACATAGATGGCCCCATCTAACTGTTGCTAGGTTATGAATATATTTTGACGCCATGCTAATTGCCAAAATTTTATGCCACAACCCGGTCCAGTTCACTAGGTCATGTTATGAGACAAACAAAAATTATCATCAAAGGTACTCACAGATCTCCCAAAGTGGCCTTAGATTTGAACTCATAACATAACACATAAAGTAGCTATAAATTCCTTAGTTCCCCCCTTCATCGAAACAAAACTTTGTTTCTCTGATCTTTCATTTTTGCTTGAAACATTCACATATGATATTCGTGTCTGACACATGCTGGAACATTGATACGGTAATATGACACTTTAAGGACAGTCCAAAATTGTTTGATGCAGCAAATCAGGCACAAAGACATATGATGTTACCATGGACGATGCAGCCCTGATTGGTGGTCCTTTCGGGTACCCTTTGGAGATGGAGACCAAGATCAATATGGAGCTCTTGTAATATGCCTCAACTAACATCTTCTATTTGGTTGGACACTTGCAAGTTTAATGAATTACAATTACTAAATGTTCATTTGCAGATATAATGATGACAAGATCAGGATTTCCAGGGGCTACAATAATATATTATTTGTCCACCTTAGAACATCAGACGGATCAAAATAAATAAAGAACATCAGATGGATTTGGATCACCCATGAGTACTTTGGTGGGTGATTTTCAGGCCTTAATCCGTGGAAGATGGATCGAGGAAATTCATTGTGATTATCGAGAAGGGAATCAATGTGCATAGCACATGACAAACATGACTCAGGGTATAGATATGGAAGATCCAACACAATATCTGATCTTTATTACAAGCAGATGCTTGTAGGGGAGACTTTACTAGAAGTTACTTTCATGTTCTTTTGTACTGATCTGTGTACCAAAAAATAAAAAATAAAAATGAGGAACAACTACGTGTACTTCTAGACTTCTATCGCAGTTCGCAAGTCCATTTATGCGGTTGTGTATATTACATCTCAACACTGTAATAGGACTGTTTAATAAATTTGCTATTATGCAAATTTAAAATGTGCATTTAATGCACCTGAATTTGTGGTTGTTCCCCCCCCCCCCGGGGGGGAATGTGAGAGGAGGCATAAGCCATTACATCAAGAGAATACTTAAACGGTCATGGAGGCCTTAAACGTCGCTATGGAGTACACTAATCAAATAAGTAGGAACAAAATTATGGAGTACACTAAGCAAATAAGTAGGAACAAAATCGAAAGACCAGCTGAGGCGGAGGAGCCTCTGATGATTTTATCGGTTGTTTTTATAACATTCCTTCATGCATCTGTCATCAAATACAAATTACGGTCACTAAATACAAGTCAGAGTTGTTAAATGAAATTTGTAAAACTTTCTTAATAAAAAATCAGTAAAAAAATTATTTTTTTAACACCTTTCATTTCTGAAACATTAAACCATAATAAAATATAATCATATAAATAACATTTTAAAATTTCGATATTTAGATGTACATTATCAAGTAGAAAACTTAGCGGTTTAAAATTATAACTAGCATAAGCTATTATAAACCTGTTTGAACATAGTTTATACCAAAATACCATTAACACATATGTACATGTCAACTAGACAAGTAAAACATATCGGAAGGACGTCATTACTGATATTTGAGATGTAGTCCTTGATAGATACATGTCAAAAAGTCTCCTTACTCCAACAAATGTCCTTTACCTACGCGTGAAATTATCACACGCTAATTATATACATAATGAGGCATTTTCAGTAACTTATAGTAAAGTATATCAATAGTATAAAATAATTCATATAACCACAATTTAGAAAATATCATATAGAAATATATGAAAAAAAAATGAAACTAACATATTTCAAACTCATTTCCTTATCAATATAACCTGAAAATCATCCATTCAGATATAAAATGTTTTATGTCAAATCAAATATATTCAATGAAAGATTTACTTTCAAATAGATTAATCAAATTTGTACTTTTCAGTTTAGCTCAATTCATAGCCCAAAGTAAATAAATGAGAATACAATGTGTAACACCTTAATTTGGTCTAACCGAAGATCGAAGAACTAAGGTATTACAAGGACTACCGAAACGACTGACCCAAAATTTTCTTTAAATTCATGTACAATTAATCATAAGAAAGCCATCCATGATAGTTATAAAGTAAAACATAATATTAATTCAGTTTACAAAATACGGGAAATACCCAATGGTAAATTTCAAAAAAATAAAAATAAAAAACGTTTGAATAGAGTTACGACTTGAATTAATACAAGGTCCACAAATTATATGCCTTATAAAGACTTAAGACATACTTTGAAAAGCGACTGATCTGAAATGTATATGCGCGATAAGCTCCTCGTCAATCCTCTACTGTCTTACGCAGGGAAACAAATTCTGAACTTTGAGCTCACAAGCTCAGTGCCACACTAATAACTATATTATACTACATGCATTCATTTTATGAACATGCTGACAAGTATAAGTATGAACATACAAAAGTATTTTGTACGTGCTGAGGTATGTCTAGTGGTGTGACCGGAGGAATTAATTGCATCTCAGGATGAAAACCTAGCCTTTCTAGGATACCCTCAGGTATCGGGCTAAGATCCGAAATTTTTAGCATCAGAAGTAGTCACCCGATCAACTTACTCCACTGAGTCTTGGGGCATCTTGGCCCAGTCAGCAATTGAAGTTCCTTGGCACTAGATGACATGTCTAGATAATTCTAACAAATTAACCGTGTTCACCTACTAAGGTGTCCTGATCGTTTCTCGAGCTTTAAACAATGGCTAGTTTTATGTCGTCCTACTTTGTTCAATTTCTAGTTGTGTTTGCAATCATTTAAGGCGTTCTCGCTTGTAGTCTTATTTCATAAGTTCGAACAACCCTAGACCCATTTTTCCTTAATGATTAACATAAAAGGATTTCTTATACAAATCATGACGAGGGTATCGATACTCTACTTAGAGTATCGATACTTATGAGCTAGAGTATCTATACTTTTCTTGGCATCGATATAAATTTTGGGTTTGATGTTTGGAAAAATTAATGTGAGTATCAATACCCTTATTTAGGGCACCGTTAACCTCTCTATGGTATTGATACTCCCCTGAGTATCGATACCAAAATGGCCTACTAGAATGCAACTATAAAAATTGGTATCGATACACTTCCTCGAGTATCGATACCATAAAGATAGTATCAATACCGTATGAACTGGTATCGATAGTCTTAAACCCCAAATGCCTTATTTAAAACCATCTAAAAAACATATCGGTATTGTTCCTCTAGTACCGATACTCAAACCCATAATACCCTATTTTGGACATGAAATGTACCCAAGACCCTACCCTTTCACCCTCTTAAGGCTATCTATTAGTGCTTAAGTCTTATGTGAGTTATTAGAGGTTAAAAGGAGTCTCCTTTCATGCTTAAAAACATTACAAATTAAATTCACCATGAAAATGCTTGGGCATGCTTTATGAACTCAATTAACCAATCATGCACATCTAATGAACTACATGTGGTATATTCAAGTCAGAAATGTGTTACCTTAATTCTAGGTTGCTGGAAATTGTCCTTACTCAACCAAGGAGAAACTTCTCCTTTGTAACACCATTTCCCATATATGTCCCGAGTCATAGATGTCACATGACTTTTAAAACATTTTTGTACTTGAAAACCCATAAAATTTTGTTTATTTAAATAAACAGTTTAATAATATAGTTTATAAAATCTTCAACTACTAATATATAAAATATAACGTTTAAAAAATCCATCAAACAGTAGTTTAAGTCAAACGTAGTATAATACTACAACCAAATACCAAGTATCTTATCAGAGCATCACAACATATCTAAGTACATGCCAACTAGTAATATCAAAAATAACATCTAGAGATGTCATACTGTTACTCATGAGACGATCCTTGACAGATGATATCAGCTGCACTCTTTACTCTAATTATACTTGATTACATACGTGTGAAACCATCACACACTAAGTATTCACTTAGTGAGGCATAATAATATAAATGAGGCGTAACCAAAACATAAGTATGTCATAAAAGATTAAAATATAAATTTAATCGTATAAATCATAATAATACATAAAACTGACTTGGTAAACCAAGTTTCTTTCAAATAACCTGCGAAACAATATTTAGTATGCCCAACATACCTATCAATCAGTATTTTCCAAAATATCTATTTATTGCCCAATGTATGTAAAATGAGAATGCAAGGTACATGAGTTGCACATAAGTGCTAAACGAAAGCATATGTTCTGTAGTGACAACAACACTATACTAATATATAACGAAATGGTAATTCACAAACTCATTATGAATACCATGGATGAACACATAGTGCCAAAAGGACACAAAGTACTGATACGAAAATGCAACATATGCATTAAACAAAATCGATCGATAACCATCATACACAAAGCATGTCGAAATGCACCTACGACTCTCAATGCACATACAATAGGCATTTAAATCAAATTCACAGATTAAACATTTATTCTTAAATATCGATAGCTGTTAAAATAATATAAAAGTTCAACCATCTATTTTAGGACAGTTCATGCCATAAAATTCTTCGTAAAAATCATTTTTATAAACTTTATGAAAATATTTCAAAATACGGTAAAACGTCCTTTTATAAAAACCTTTGAGGTTGACTTATCGCAATTCGTCCTCATATCATATAAGTACATAATAAATGCACTCACCTGGTATGCCTCACTATTATGCCTTACTATGAAAATCCAATTATTCTTGAACTTTTTCATTGCCTTTCGCTTTGCTCGTATCATGAGTACGATCACGATCTATACAAGCATCCATACAAAGCATATACAATTATAAAATACAATGTTAGTATCCTTACTAACATTTTTACAAAATAATAATACTCAAAAGTACTATTGTTTTTGAATTCTTTTAAAATTCATCTTAACTTTTCCTTTTTATTCATAATGGACCCTTGTCATAAATTCTTCAATCCAAGCCCAGTTAAGCCTAATAAAATTCCATCATTTAATTTCCAGCTCAATACCTCAACAATACAATAATTACCACTTAAGCCACTAACGTTCTCAATATTCACCATTTTGTACATAAACTTTGCCAATTTTCCAAAATGGCTTAATTCCACATTCTAAATTCAATTCTAGCCCACAAACAGTAATTTCCAGTATTTTACATCAATTATTGAGTAATTAAACAATCATCCCCCAACTTTTCAAAATTGTCGAACCTTCCAAATATCATCTCTAATCCATGGGAATTTTTCCATAATTTTTTCCAATTTATTTCCTCATGACCGAATACTTTAGGGGTATATTTCTCATGAATTTCACTTGATTAAAGTATGAAACCAACCTCTATTCAACATTTCAAGACCTCTAGAATCAAACCCCTAACTTAATTTCATCAAAATAATATTTTCCCTAAAGCTAGGTTTGGCCGAATTCAACATAAGCTTATATAGCCATGTACAAGTGATTTTCATCAACAATCATGCTCGTATATGATTCTACAAGCTCACAAACATTAAAATCCTTCATCAATTTCATAAACCCTAATGTGAACACAAACCCTATAATTTGGTATCTTTGAACACAAGCAAAATTAGCATGCAATATTGGTACCAAATGATAGCTTTTTTTCGCATAGAACAATTGTCTATTTCACATCACGATCCAAAAACAAAAGGAAATTACTCGAAAATGAAAAATAAAATAATATTACCTTGATTTGGGGACTCACGACAATGGTGGCTGAAAATACCAATCTTCATGAAAT